TGATTTGGTTAAAATTTATAATTACTCAAATGAATAATCAGAAATTCTGGATAAATTATCTGATTTTTATTTTTACCCGTTAAACAATTTATTGTTTCAAACGGATAATATCAATTACTTTTATACGAAAAAATTGGTAATCTGAGTCGGGTAAGGATTTCGACGAAAAAAAAATTGGGTAAGGATATGGTGCATTTATCCGATCCTAAATATCAAGGTCTAAGTAAGAGAATTTAAATCAGTAAGAGAAAAGTAAGAGAATTTAAAACAGTAAAAGATGTTTTGGAGAATGCACCAAACTCCTTGTGCTTTTATGACTTTGACCCGTTTATTAACAGTGAAATTAACGAAACAAGTACATTATTTATGTTACTCTGACCTCGAATTAACTGCTCCAGTGACTCGTGCTCAATCACAGCTTTTGGCTTCTCCAAGTACAATGATTGTAAACGAACCTTAATGTATTTGACCCCTTTTTTTGTTTTTGTTTTTCTTCTGGATTAAATTAACCCCTTTAATGGTTATAAAATGGTTTTGTAGTAACATTATTTCATGTCCTTAAAAAGAAAAATCAAGTCTAAATCAGAAATGATAAACTACATCAAATTTACTATGTAAACCTTATTTATGTGTAAATAATTTCTTCTTGTTCATGTATTATGTCAAATTTTAGGTGATAACGAAACGATAACATTAACACAAATTATTCGACAATATGTCACTGTTAAACCGATAATGATTTATACTACTTGTCATATGATGATCTTAGTAAAATGCATAATTTAATTATATACACTTCATTTTTTTTAACATGGGTAAATTAAGGAAGGGTAGAAGGGTCATTTAAAGAGGTGGGCGAAGAGTCAGATTCTAATCTGGTGAAGTGTGTGGTGGTTTAGGAACACGAGTGAAGGGTAAAATAGGGAATAACAAAAGCTTTAAGTATAAGTTAAAAAAAAAAAGTAGCTTACCGTTAACTTAAAAGAATCGTAAAAGCCATCCACAACACCAACTCCACCTAGCCCTGCCTTTTGTTTTTCTTTATTTCAAACGGCTAACTATTTAATCCTCTTTAATGGGCCTAGTCCAATTAATTATATGGGCCTAACTATACACTAATTAATCTCCGTACGGGTACTTAACCTTTAAAGCCTTTTTATGATAAATAAATACAAGATGCATTGATTCAGTAATTAGTATCTCAACAAACAAACAAAAATTTGCTGTAAAACCTGTGACAAGTAAAATTCTGCAACATCTATTGATTCAGAACCGTGACTGTACACTTTTTTGTTGGTAACGCAATAGCCTTTGTGTAAAGAACTAAAAGATTTGTTGTGTTGTCTTCCCTTAAACCGGTCCGAGAGTGTTGAAATGGTCCCATGCTTCCTACAAGATTGTACCAAAACCAAAAAGGACTTAAAGATTCAAAGATCCTGCAAAGTGTTTTTGTAGTTTTCTAAAAGATTATTTGTTTATGGAGAAACTAGTAGTAACAAAAACCTGTAATAACTCGAAAACTTTCTCAGCCATGTATTTCTGGTTATCAGAAGCACCCTTTTGTTGTAGCTTGTCTGGATGAAGGATTAGTAATGCCCTCTGGTACGATTTTCGAACCGCGTTTCCTTCGATCATATCCATGAGAGGAACCGCTTTCCATCCGCTCCCGGGCCAAAGAATCTATAATGTAAAAAAACTTCCACATTTTATTAGTTGTGCAAATAAGACTAATGCATAGACCGAATATGTTACCTTCTTCTAATAGAATACTTACATATTGCAGTGTGGACAGGAGAGACCGAATGTTTCCGCTCTTTCCGCTTGACCATTTGCGGATTTTCGCATCAATGTTCTGTAGAGGTTCGGATTTTGTGTTGAGGCTTTCATTTTTTCGGTAGAAGTATTGGAAAAAAGTATATCTCTTTGCAATTGCATTAGTATTACCTTGATTTCTTCCGCATCGTTTCTAGTTTCTTCGAGTTTGTTTTCATCTTGTGTTATATCCTCCACCTGCACAACACATTACAAGTTCAATACTAATTATAAAGAGAAACATGAAAGTTAAAATTGAAAACATGGAGGTGGAAAGTATATAATATGCTCTTTACCATGAAATTGACATGGATGGGCTCGTCTATATCCTCCGCGGTAGTATATGCTGACAGAAGAAAACCCGGTAAGCTCAAATCTTATTTACTTGTGTAGTAGTAGTGATAACAATGTTTTATAAATCCGATTCACCAATTCAAGAACTAACCTGTGCTTGGTTCCTGTCTCTCCTCTTGTTCAGTAACACCACTTGGCTTATTAATGTTCACGCTCTCCCGATCTGAATCTTTTTTCTGACTTGCCTGCGAAGGTTTCTGATCCCGATCCTGCAATTTACAAGTAAGAAAACACAAACCAAGAAACATTGTAACATATATCAAGATCTTAATTTGTAGATTAAGTACCCTAGTGGGAATATCTGGAGTCGTTTTCTTTTGTTCAGGAATGTTTACAGTTTCCTTGGTATTAGCACTGTCTTTACCGATATCAGTCACGGGAATTTCTTTAGCTCTCCATCTAGAGCTTTGTCCAAGAGATTCTCCAACTGAAGCTCCTTGACTGAAAATCTTAACAAAGTCCATCACTTTTCCTTTGACTCCATCTTTGCCAACTTCTGGTGCTAATGATGAGCTTGCAAAGCTCGATTTTTGGGGTCTTGGGCTATCCAAAGAACTTCTCCTACCTTGTGTTTTCTTTTTGCTTCTTGAATCTCCAACAGAAATTCGCGTGTTCTTCGCTTTGCTTTTACCTTTTTTCACTTCTCTCTCTGTTACTATATCCTCCTCACCTGCAATGACAAAGAACGAAATGAAGCTAAACCCAACCAAATGAAACAAAGATATCTACTATCTGCAGAAGACCAACCTTGTCTACTGTCCTTTTCATCTAAAACTGAATGGAGAGGTTTCACATTAGCCTCCTTTGCTTTCGATACATCACTAGAGAAAGCCTGTTCAGACATTGAACCGATTTCTGTCTGAACAACAGGACGCTTATCCGAGGTCTTCTTTTCCTCTTTCAAACCAGGTAAACCAAT